TATTCTGTATTTTCTTTGTATGTGATTGATATGGAGTAGCAATTAGACAATTTCATGTTAAATAAGTAAATGAAAAATTGCTCTGAGTCTGATCTGTCACATATTAGGAGTTACACGGATCGCAGTTGATCCGTAATACGTATGAATGAGACCCTACAGTTCAGCATGCACGTGATTCGCAGAGTAATTTGCCAATTTACGCGTACAAGCAATTTTAAACCACAAGAAGAAGAAACGAAAGAGAGCTCAATTCGTTACTCACGCACGGTTCTCGCACACAATCAAAGCACGCACAAGCATAGAGATTTGTTTCAGACACATTAAACTAGCCTGTCAAAAACCCATCACGGCATTGTCATTCTCTGTGCTTTAAAATATTTTTTTCTTGCTTATCAGAAAAAATAACAAAAACACAATATAATGCGTTGAACCACTATATAATGCTATTATAATACCCTAATATATATATATATATATCATCCCCCCTGTCCAGCCGGTCCGCGAGAATACTTTCCAAACGTAACCGGTCCGTGGTGTAAAAAAGGTTGGAGACCCCTGATTTAGAGAGTCAATCTAAAAATGAGTCATGCTTACATTCATGTCTTGCATTTTTACCAATATTGTGACTAGGGGTTGACCGATGCGTGTTTTTCAGGGCCGATTTTTACTTTTTTCTTCGTGTCAGTTGCGGCGAGTTCAAAAATGACCATGCGAAAGACGAGAAGGTGTGGGATTATTTTGAATTAGAAGGAAACGGAAAAGTTTTGTGTAAACTGTGTAATGTCAAATTGTCTTACAATAACTCTACTGGAGCGATGCGTAATCATATTCAATACAGGCACGTAGGCATTAGCTTAGAGGCTGGCTAAAGCCAGCAAATGTGTCAATCACGTCTTTCACTACAGCCCGCAGCCGCTGCGATCCCAACCGCGCCATTTATTCCTCTAACGAAGACCCACTTCGGTGTCCAGGCGCTTTCTGAAACTCTTATCGGCTTGCTTTTCATTATCTCTACGTGCCTGCGTCTTCAGTTCCTGCCGAGCGCATTTTTTTCAAGTGCAGGAATTTTCTTGTTAATCGCCTCAGGTCCTGTCTTTCACCAGACCACGTTGATAATTTCACTGAACAAATAACGCATGGTCTGAGTAAGTAAAATGGGCATTGTTGCATTTTGTTTTTAGACGATATAGCCTACACTAAGTACGTTTTAAAAGCTGTTTTAATGCGATTTCTTGATAAATTGTTTTTACCCATTGTTTTTGACTTGTTTTAATATGTTGGCTAACCTTATATGAAGATTAAGAATTCTGTCAGGCTATTGATTGATTTTCCATTGTTCTGCATTTCCCCAGCTGATTTGAATAAATAAGCTATGCTTTGGCCAACATTGAGTGTATACTCAATACTATACTTTTTTTTATTTTTTACGACTGCCTAAAATGAAATGATGATAACGCGAGGCAAGTGTGCGGCAAGC